AATGTGCGAGAGAAACATCAAGTGGTTGTCTATCGCATGCCCCCAAATGGGGACCTGGCCCACAACCCTGGCATGTGTCCTGATCGGGAATTGAACCAGTGACCTCTCAGTTCTAAGGACAATGCCCAACCCACTGAACCACACCAGGTAGAGCTCCGTTGCCTTTTTATACACCAATAATGAACTATCAGAAAGGAAAACTGAGAAACCACTCCTATTACAATTGCATCAAAAAATAAACTACCTAGGGATGAATTTAACCATGAATATAAAAGATGGGCACTTGGAAAATTGTAAGACATTGAAAAAGAAATTAAAGATGATACAAATAAGTGGAAGTATTTACCATGTTCATGAATAGGAAGAATTAGCATCATTAATATATCCATACTACCCAAAACAATCTACTGATTCAATGCAATTCCTATCAAGATACCAAGAGCATATTTCACAGAATTAGAACAAATATTTTTTAAAAATTATGTGGAACCACAAAGGACCACAAATAGCTACAGAAATCTTGAGAAAGAAGAACAAAGTTGGAGAAATCATGCTATCTGATCTCAAACTATACAACAAAGCCACAGTAATCAAAATAGTATGGTACTGGCCTAAGAACAGACACATAGATCAACGGAAGAAAATAGAAAGCCCAGGAAAAAACCCCATTCCTTTATGATCAACTGATATTTGACAAAGAAGGCAAGAACATACAATGGAGTAAAGACAGTCTATTCAATAAATGATGTTGGAAAATTAGACAGGAACATGCAAAAAAAAAACAAAACAAACAACAAACAAAACACAACACACAAAACAGACCACCTCCTTAAACCGCACACACAAATATATTCAAAATGGATCGAAGACTTAAATGTACCACAAAAGAACCATAAAAATCCAAGAAGAAAACATGAGCAATAAAATCTTGGGCATTTCTCATAGTAATATATTTTTTCCTGTTATCTCCTTAAGCAAGGGAAACAGAAGAAAAAATATAAATAGATGGAACTACATCAAACTAAAGTTTTGTAGAGCAAAGGAAACCATGAACAAAATAAAAGGAGAACCCACTGAATGAGGGAAGACATTTGCCAATGATACAGCTGATGAGGACTTAATATCCAAAATTTACAAAGAACTTAGAAAACACGCCAGCAAGAAAAACAAACAATCTAATTAAAAAATAGGCAAAAGACCTGAATAGACACTTCTCCACAGAGGATATATAGATGGCCAATAGAATATGAAAAGATGCTTAATATCACTAACGGTCAGAGAAATGCAAATTAAACTGCAATGAGATATCACCTCACATTTGTCAGAATGGCTACCATCAATAAATCAACAAACAACAAGTGCTGGCGAGGATGTAGAGAAAAGGGAACCCTCAAGCACTGCTGGTGGGAACGCAGACTGGTGCAGCCACCGCACAACACAGTATGGAGATACCTCAAAACATTAAAAATGGATCTGACTTTTGACCCAGGGATTCCACTTCTGGTATGTATCAGAAGAAACCCAAAACAATGATTCAAAGAATATATGCATCCCTATCTTCACTGCAGCATTGTTTATAATAGCCAAGATTTGGAAGCAGCCCAAGGGTCCAGATGAATGGATAAAAAAGCTGTGGTGCACGTACACAATGGAACACTACTTGGCGGTAAAATAAACAAACAAACAAACAAATAAAAGAAAAAGAAGAAGAAAATCTTACCCTTTGTGACAGCATGGATAAACCTGGAGAGTGTTATGGTGATATAAGCCAGTCAGAGAAAAACAAATACCATATGATTTCACTTATACGTGGAATCTAATGAACAAAATAAACCAACAAACAAAATAGTAACACTCATAGTCAGAGAGGAAGGCATTAGGGGACTGGGTGAAAAAGGTGAAGGGATTCAGAAATTAAAAAAAAAAAAAAAAGGAATCCTATAGACAGACAACAGTATGGTCATTACCAGAGGGAAATGGGGTCAGGGGAGGCAGGAGGGTCAAGGACGGACAAATGGTGATGGAAAGAGACCTGACTTCGGTGGTGAACACACAATGCAATATAAAAAAGATGTATTACAGAACTGTATGCCTTAAACTTACACAATTTTATTAATCAATATCACCCCAATAAGTTCAATAAAAGAAAATCTTAGTCATTTCAAATTATTTTCTCCTATAATTCATAAAGCATTTTAAACTATGCTGATCATCAATAAAATGTGGTTTTGAAATTTCAAAATTACCAACCATCAATATATATACCAAGTACATATAACTGATGTCATTTTTTGGTGATTTTGAAATATTTATGTATAGACATGCATATTTTTTCCTGAAACACTTGAGCATAAATTGAGTAAGAGAGTGCTTGCTGGCCCCAAATATGTCAACATACATTTCCTAAGAACAAAGACTTTGTCTTACAAACCTCAGTAATCAAAATCAGGAAATATCACCTAGTAATGTTCAGTCATTATTCAAATTTGACCAAATGTACCAACAACATTTACACCTAAACCCCGCCCTTGCTTCAATATTTAGTATAAAATCAAGCATTGTATTTAGCTATGTCTCTTTTTTCTCCTGTAATCTCGAAAAGTTCCTTCATCTGTTTCTTGACAATGGGATGTTTTAAGAGTATAGACCAGTCAATCTGTAGAATGTCTTAAATTTGGTTTGTCTGATATTTCCTAATAATTAGACTCAGGTACCCATTTCTGGCAGGAATATAACAAAAATGATATTTTGTTCTTCTCACTGATTCATACCAGGAGTGGTATGATATCAATTTGCATGTATATTGATGGTGGTAGAGATGATTTTTGTTACAGTGGTATCCTTTATGTTTACCCATCAGAGATTTGGTAATTTTCCCTTTGTGGAGAGATGACTCTGAGACTATGTAAGTATTTTGTTTCTAACTAAATATCAGTCACAAGTTTTACCGTTCATTAATGATTTTCTAGATTAATTATTTGCTCCATATTTTTTAGTTGGCCTTGGACTATTAGGAAAAACTTCTTTCCTCCCTCCCTCTCTTTTCCTTCCTTCTTTCCTTCCCTCCTTTCTTCCTTCTGTAGGACTTAGAAGTTGTTATATTATACATAGGGGCACTACCAATTACTCTGATTTTTTATTCGGATTACCAAGTTATCCCAAATCTGGCCAATGTAAGTCCCTTCAATCAGGCTCCTCTGTCCTTTTGCCTGTTCCCTCTAATTCTTGGAATAGTTCCTTACACTATGGAGTGGGTGATGGAAATACTTTGTATTTTAATAGGGAGGTAGATTATAAGGGATATGTTTTTTTAAAATCTCAACGAAGTGTACATTTAAAATATATGTATATGTGTATGTTCATATTCTAGCTAATAGTGCTACTTTCTACAATGTTCTGGGCAAGCGATTCTAAAACTACTTTATGTGAAAGTACATAGAAGATAATAGAAAGCAAGTTTCTCATTTATTAGAGAAAGGAGGTACGAATAAGCAAAAAGCAAAAACAAAAATAATCTCTGGGTTTTAAACATACCTATGTAGCTATAAAAAACACTGACGTGTACACTCACACTTTCGAGCTCTCTCCACTGAGAGGCCCTGATAGCAGGGAGTCACCTGGAACAATGAAAACAACCGGCGCCTGGGTCTCGGTTTCTAAACAGTACCATCTCCTCCACTGAAACCGAGCAGGTCTGCTCAGAGAAAAGGCTAATTCCAGGGTTGGGGTGAGGAAAGCGTAAGCTTCCCTCTAATTTCAAAAGAAAAGTAATTTAATAAGTAAATACACTGAACTGTACACAGAAAAATGGGTAAGATGGTAAATTTTATGTTAAGTGTATTTACCACAATAAAACAATGTGAACACTGCAGTAAAAGTGTTCTCCTTGTCCCATAAAGTATGGGAAATGCAAAGCCATCAACTAACAAATAAGTGAGAAAACCAGTAGTGCCTGATGTAGTTTCCTTGCCATGTTCCTCACTATATTTATTTTTAAAATGTAGCACTGAGGCCTGAATAAATATACCATCTATACCCAACACTTACAAACAAGGTGCAGAGTTCAAGCCTTGAACAAACTTCAATTCAAGCACTACTGACTGAATACTGACTATCCAGGCAGCACTTTGAATAAGATACAATCTTTGCCTTTTAGAAGCTTAAAATCCAGTTGCTTTTAATATAGAACACTGAATTCATGATAATGTAGATGATACAGTTTGGGGAAAAGAAAACAAACTATGTGAAGATGTCAATCTGACTACAGCACCATAAAATGGAAACGTGGTTTAGATTTTTCAGTGCCCTGGCATTAAAATGCTTCATTAAGAATTCACTTCTCAATAGTTTAAATCAAATCAGATGACACGATCATCTACATGAGATGCTAGTAGGACAATGAACCCATTCAGTATAAGCTATTTTTTAGTGAGGTCATCTCAGAACAAGGTAAAAGGGAGCTGTGTTCTGGATTCTTCTAATGCTAAAAAAGAAAAAAAAAGTAAGATTTTTCTCAAGTTACATCAACTACCTAGCTTTCTTAGGAAAAAGTAAAGAATTATTCCTAACTACACTCAAAGGAAAAAATTAAGATCTAAACCATTTCTTACTGGAATGAAATTTTCTTTCATTTTTTTCTATCTCTTTACCCCAAGTCAAATATGGATGTTCAAAGATTATTAATTACATTGAAGAGAAAAGCAAAAACACTTGAAAAATCAGGATCACTTTTTAAAACTACTATTTAAAATTTCTGGTAGAAGTGGTAAAAGAAATTTGGAATATGTTATATATAATTGTATCATGTTTCAAATTCTCTCAAGAGTCAAAAAATATTTAAGTAGATGAAAATGTATCAACCTTCTTAGATGGTTCTGATGCTACTTAATAAAATATTTAAAGTCATCATAATGGAACCTCAAGTGTTTAAAAGCCTACTACATTTAAAGTTGAAACTGAAGCACATCAAAAAACAATTCAGCATTCTTTAAAGTTCTTACCACAATCATTTCTGAAGGCTCTAATACAAGACAATCACATCCTCTTTTTCCTCCAAACTGCTTACCAAAACTATAAAAACAGAAAAACAATTTCTTTAGCAAAGGTTATCAATGAAATATATCAATATAGGAAAAAAACAAACAGGCCAAAAATCCTAGATGTTAACCAAGAAGTTCTGATCCTATCACTTTTATTAATAAAACTTTCTTAAAAACAAAACAGATATAACTGATCTCAATACGGTTGTGTGTGAAAACTCTTTTAAAATCTCTACCTTCATCTAGTCAATAAAACTGATTATATAAGACCCTCGCTAACTGCAAATGTTAAACATCTATTAATATGAGCTACCTAAAACTAATAACACACCTAATATAGACTAAAGCCACAATTATGGAATATTTTATAAAAGTAAATTGTTATAGCATTTTGGGAGCAGTATTAGACAACAGCTAAAAACAACTTTAAAAATATTCACATTTGAATATATAAAGAAATGCAGTAAGAAACAGGTGATTCATTTAAAAATAGTGTTAGGGCCACTGACTAGCTCTTTGGGAAAAAACTAAAAGAATTAGTACTAAAAAAAAAAACTGTATTTTTATATTCTTTATCTGGCAGAAAGATTTCTAAGCAAATAAAAAAAGAAAGCATAAATAAAGGAATAGACTCATGTTTTCATTTAAAAATATGAAACTAAATTTTAAAAAGGTGGGGGAGGGGAGGACATGCCGGTTAAGATGGAAGTGTAGGAAAACATGGCTCACCTCCTCGCACAGCCACAGCAAACGTTACAACTAGACTACAAAACCCAGAATCATAAGAAAATCAAGCTATATGAAAGCCTAGCAACCAAGAAAATAAAGAAGCCACATTCATCCCGACAGGTAGAAGTGGCGAACAACCAGGGCAAGAGGCGCAAAGGCAAAGACACACTAAATGGGCAGTCCCACACGCGTGTGGTGGATAAAAATTGGTGGGGATATCTTGGAGCGAAGCATCCCAGCCCCACACCAGACCACCCAGCCCTGGGTTCCAGTGTCAGGAAGATAAGTCCCCATAACTTCTGGCTGTAAAAACCAGCAGGGATTGGGGCGGTGGAGGCAACTGCAGGATTCTCAGGAGTCTCCTCTTAGAGAGCCCACAACAGACTTAGGTCTTACACAGACTCACAGAGCAGCAGCTGGAAGGGCACCAGTGGCAAATGGGGAGAAAAATGAAGTGTCTGACATCAGGGCGAGTGCTGGGGGACAATTCCGTCCAGATAAAACTCCAGAGCCCAGGCAGCAGGCACTGTCCCCTTTCTGAGCCCTCCCCACACAGAGCCACAGAGGCGCAACACCATAATGGAGACTCCATCAACCTGGTTCACACAGGCTGCCCCGCCCTGGCGACTACCTAGGGCTCCACCCCCATCCAACTAACCAGTGTGTTTTTCTACAATAGGCCATGCTGCTAAGACAGGGAGTCAAAGGAGTTCCACCTAATACATAGAGACAAATGCAGGGGGGCTGCCACAATGAGGAGACAAAGAAACACGGCCCAAATGAAAGGACAGAACAAAACACCAGAAAAAAATCAAACAAAATGGAGATAAGCAATCTATCAGATTCAGAGTCCAAAACACTGGTTATTAGGATGCTCAAGGAACTTGTTGGGTACTTCAACAGCATAAAAAAGACCCAGATAGAAATGAAGGTTACATTTGTGAAATAAAGAAAACTTTACAGAGAACCAATAGTGGAATGAATAAAGCTGAGAATCAAATCAGTGATTTGGAACATAAGGAAGGAAAAAAGTATTCGATCAGAACAGCAAGAAGAAAAAAAGAATTCAACAAAACGACGACAGGCTAAGGAGCCTCTGGGACAACTTCAAACATACAAACATCTGAATCATAGGGTGCCAGAGGAGAAGAGGAGGAGCAAGAAATTAAAAACTTATTTGAAAAAATAATGAAAGAAAAATTCCCTAATTTGGTGAAGGAAGTAGATATAAAAGTGAAGGAAGCTCAGAGAGTACTGAACAAGAGGGACCCAAAGAGGACCACACCAAGACACATCATAATTAAAATGCCAAAGGTTAAAGATAAAGAGAGAATCTTAAAAGCAGCAGAGAAAAGCGGACAGTTACCTACAAAGGAGCTCCCACAGGACTGTCAGCTGACTTCTCATAAGAAACTTTACAGGCTAGAAGGGTCTGGCAAGAAGTATTAAAAGTGATGAAAACCAAAGACCTACAACCTAGATTACTCTATTCAGCAAGCTGTCATTTAAAATGGAAGGGCAGATGAAGTGCTTCCCAGACAAGGTAAAGCTAAAGGAGTTCATCTCTCCCAAGCCATTATTACATGAAATGTTAAAGGGACTTTCTTAAAAAGAAGATCAAAATTATGAATATTAAAATGGCAATAAATTCACAACTATCAACAATTGACTCTAATCAAACTAAGAAACAAGCAGAACAGAAAGAGAATCATAGATATGCAGATCATTTGGAGGGTTTTCAGTTGGGGAGCAGGGAAAGGAGAGAATGGAGGAAAAGGTACAGGGATCAAGAAGTACAAATTGGTAGGTATAGAATAGTCAGAGAGATGTTAAGAAGAGTCTAGGAAATGGAGAAGCCAAAGAAATTATTAGCATGATCCATGGACATGAACTAAGTTGGGGTACTGCTGGAGAGAATGGGCCATGCTGGACATAGGGGGGCAAAGGGGGAAAAACTGAGACAACTGTAATAGCATAAACAATAAAATATATTTTTGAAGAATGATGCAGAGAAATAGAAAAAATACTTGCTAATTATGTGATATAAAAGGTTAACATAATATGCAGAGTGCATTTAAAAATTATAAAAGGAATCTAAAGTATTATATAAATAAAAATATAATAATTTATGTAAAAATGACCAAATGAGAAGAAATCGCCATTAATAACACAAATAAAATATAAAATACCAAAAACTTATAGAAATATAGAAATCATTAATAAAAATCTATACAATTTTATCGATGGACTAAAAACAGGGCTTGAATGAAAGAAGCAACAGCATGTCAATTCTCCACAATATAAGGTTATATGCAAATATTAGTTTATAACAAAATTCTAATCAAAATCCAAATGCAATTTTGAATATAACAGGAAAAATGACTTGTTTTCCATAAGCAGTAGAACTGTATGTTTTTTGTATTTCCCCAACTTTTACAACATCTAATACATAAAGCAAAATCAAATTTATAAAAGTTTGCTCTCAAATAAGATGGAATAGTGGGTATTAGATTTACACTCCAACATGAAAAAAACAAAATGTATCAAAAAATTTCAAGACACTGGAAAACAGGTAGGATAAGGCTGTCCTCCCTGAGAGATTTAAAAAACAAAACAAACAAACAAATAAAAAACTGCTTTAAGATGACCTCTACAATAGCCAATTTTACTACTTTCTGGCAATCTCTAGACCCTAATGCAAAGGAAAAGCCTAACAGAGCCTGACAACTTCAATGAGCTGAAGAGACAGAGATAGTTTTGGGGTGTGGGTAACAGGGAAAAGATCACTGAAATTTACAGGGCAGAGAATAGGAAAAAAAGGGAGCAGGAGAGCGAGAAAAGTGAGACAGAGAACAAGAATGTGCATGAGAGGGCACATGTGAGCACACATATGTTATTTGGTGACATTCAGAGAGGTTTCCTTGAGTCTTTGGGTAAATACTATGAATATGAGAACAAACCAACTAAAAACCAGAATGCAAAGACAACACAAATACACAGAGCATTGGGTAGGGTCCTAGGAAATGTATTTCCTTAGTAATTTATAAATTAGTCTTAAACTAAAAAAATGCTGGACTTACACAAATATAAAATGTAAGTCTCAAAATAATCCAACAAATTTCAATTAGCTAAACTGAATGTCAGAAGAAAGCCCAATACTATCCTAAAGAAATATAGCAACAGCTGGAACCCAGCAAAATAAAACTTACAATGTCCAACATCCAATGAAACAACACAAAAAAAATAGGCATACCAAGAAATAGGAAAATACGATCCATAACCAAGAGAAAACCCATCAATAACAACGGACCCAGAACTGTTAGCAATGCAGAAATCAATAGACAATATTAAAACAGCTATTTCTAAGTATGCTCCATATGTTGAAAAAAAAGTAGAGATAAATATGAACATGATAAAAACAAATTATAAAAAAAAGTCGAGTGAAAGATTCTGTCACATCATACATGCATATACATAATGTCTAGTCATCCCATTTTGTTTTACTGTTAAAACTGCTGTGACGTTTCACACAGTATCAACTTGATATACCCAATATAAAATTTCCTCTCAATTTTTCATCTGTTTTAGCATCCATTTTTGACCAGTGCCTACATCTATTAGGCCTACTGAAATAGAGATTTTACAATTCTATCATTTCTACTGAATTTGTAGGTAAAGTACTGATATAAAGAAATATACTCCCTTATCAACTCTTTGAGTTCTTGCAATAATACTTTATACAAGAAAGACAGAATAAATGCTTCAACTGTCAATAACATTATTGTATAAAGTAAATTGTATGAGTTCTATTTGTTAAAAAGCTACCAGAAATAAGTGAACTTAGCAAGACTGAAGGATACAAGTTCAATATCTAAAAATTAATCATTTTACTGTATATTAGCAACAATCTGAAAAATCTTTTAATTCCATTTAAAATGAAATAAAACCAAATATTTAAGATACAAATATATCAAAATATGTACAAGACCCCTAACAAAACTACAAGTTAAAAAACACTGCAGAGAGAAATTAAAGATGACTGAAATAAGATACCTTCTTTATGGGTTGTTCTACATATTCAATGCAATCAGAAAGATGCCTAAGGGAAATAACATAATAATTCCAAAATTTACATGAAAATATAAAGACCCTAAGATAACTAAAACAATTTTGGAAAACAAGAACAAATTTGAAATATTTGTATTATCAGATTTCAAGACATAAGGTAAAGCTAGGATACTCAAGATGGTATGCCATCAAATCAACTTATACAATGAAATGGGATAGAACAAAATCTGACCC